AGTCCTGCTTTATATCTTGCAATCTCGTTTTTCTCATTTCGTTTCCTTGTGAATACCCATTTGTAACCCACAGGATTTACACCAAGCGGGGTTTGGACTACTGGTCCAAAAACACTTCGCCTTTCCAAGGAATTTAATTATGCCTGGATTGCATCTTTCCATTTAGGCCAATCTTGTCTCTGTTTACATTCATCAACAGAGCGGGGCTCAAGATCATCACTTAATATGATTTCAGTGGCTACTGCGAATGCAAACATATCGTCAATGATTATTTCATTTTGATCCCACAATTCATTATTACATGCATAATTTACGGAGATTTCTTTGCTCTTATGTACTGCTATCTCTTCAGGGACATGTGTCTCATTAAGGACATTTTATTCTTCTAGAAGTCCAGAATCATGAATTGTGGATTTGTCATTCATTCTCTCTTCCTAAATGATTTCATTTGGATTCAGCTGTGCCCTCATCTTTCTCTTTTGAGGGGCTGAATCTTTTGAACATGGTGGTCTACCACGCTTTAGGTGTGCACCAGATAAATCATTCGCTGCCACTTTATTTTGTCCAACAGAGACATCAATTCTGGCAAGTGCATTTGCAGCTGGTATATGTGATTTTGTCACTTTCATATCATTATTAAATGCATCTGGCATTTGATTGGCAATGCTTTGAAGATGAACGATCCTTTTTACTTCATTTTCACATTGAATGCTTCGATGATCAAAATGAGACAAGGTGGGAACAACCTATGTTAGCTCTTTCCATTCTTCTGGAATGGTCTTTTCTCCCCCTAATGACGGGAAGATTGTCTCATCAAAGTGACAATGAGTAAAACGAGCTGTAAACATATCACCTGTCAAGGGTTCCAAATATCTAATGATAGATGGTGAATCAAAACCCACATAAATTCCCAGTCTACGCTGAGGTCCCATTTTAGTGTGTTGTGGGGGTGCAATAGGCACATAAACAGCACAACCAAAAACTCGTAAATATGAAATGTTTAGCTAATGTCCAAACACGAGTTGTATTGACGAGTATTGATGGTTGGCTATAGGTCTCAATCAAACCAATGATGCAGCATATAGGATGACATGTCCCCATGCAGAAATTGGCAATTTGGTTTTCATAAGCAGAGTGCGAGCTATTAACTAAAGTCGCTTGATCAATGCTTCTGCCAAACCATTTTAAGTATGGACATGAGGAACAGGTGTTCAACATCAATGCCCAATGTTATGTAGTAATCATCCAAAGTTTGAGACGTAAATTCATCAGCGTTATCAAGTCAGATTGACTTAATGGGATAATTTGGGAACTATGCTCGTAACTTAGTTATCTGAGCAATAAGTCTCACAAAAGCTACATTCCGAGTAGATAAGAGACAAACATGTGACCATCTGGTATATGCATCAACCAAAACCATAAAATATCGAAATGGTCCATAAGATGATTGAATAGGTCCACAAATATCCCCTTGAATTCTTTGCAGAAATGATGGGGATTCAGCATCAATCTTTAGTTGTGATGGTCTAATTACAACTTTCCCTTGAGAACAAGCCTTGCAAGGGTTATCATTTGAGATAGCAATGTCTCTGCTCAATAATGGATGTCCATTAGAGTTGGTAATGATCCTACGCATTATGGTGGATCTTGGATGACCCAGACGGTCATGCCAAAGTATGTAAACTTTGAAATCAATGAACTTCTGGTTCATGACAGTATGTGATTCAACTGTCTTTATGTATGTATAATACAATCCACTCGACAAACTACGCAACTTCTCCAATATACGTTTCTGGGTATCATTGGAGGTAATGCATAGATACTTCACATTTTCTGCACTTTTCGTTTTAATGTGGTATCCATTTAAGCGTATGTCTTTAAAACTCAACAAGTTTCGAGTAGATCGAGTAGCGTACAACGCATTCTGTATGCATAATATTGTTCCATTTGGTAACATAATATGGGTTTCCCCTGAGCCTTCACTCACATCTGATTGGCCTGATATTGTTGTTACCTTTACTTTTGTAAACATCAAGCTTGAGAAATACTTTCAATCTCGAAGTATTGTATACGTTGTTGTGCAGTTTGCAAGACAGATATCTCTGCCATTTCTCATGTTCTGAGAATGACCATAATTTTTATCCATGCTCTCTGAGTAAGGGAATCAGAGTTAAAAGCAAGTTATAACAAGAAATTTACATGCCACTTTTATTGAATATGAAATGCTAGTTTTACACAACAAATCCCGTAGGTCGGGAATTATGGTTTTTCATCAGGAGCTCATTGTTTTGTTCAACTACCAGGAGCACAGATATCAGCTCGTTGTATTCAGTGTAGCCTCGCGCTCTATACTGCTACTGCAGAAGCACGTTAGAGGCATGAAATGTGTTAAAGGTCTTTTCCAGCAACATTTCCTCAGTAATAGTATCCCCACAGAGCTTCATCTGAGAGGTAATTCTGAACAGCGTAGAATTGTACTCAGCCACTAACTTGAAATCCTGGATCCTTAGGTGAGTCCATTCATAGCGAGCTCTTGGAAGAATCACCGTTGTCTGGTGATTGTATCTGCTTCTCAAAGCCTGCCAGAGAGCTAACGGATCTTCAACCGTTAAGTACTCACTCTTTAGTGCCTCATCAAGATGGCGACGAATAAAAATTGTAGCCTTCGCCCGCTCTTGAGAGGATGAGCTGCTCACTTCTCTGATGGTATCTCCAAGATTCCCTGCTTCCAGATGGATCTTGGTATCCAGTACCCATGTAAGGTAATTATTCCCAATAATGTCCAGGGCAACATATTCAAGCTTTGCCAAGTTCGCCATTTTCTTTTCTAAAAGAAAAATGAGATGTATAAGAACTTGCAACAATATGTATTCCTGGAGGAATATAGTGTTAGAACTTCTGGTTCTTACATTTTTTTTTCATTTTGATCTTCAGGCTAAAATGATAAGCACTCGAAACTTTTGGCTCTAGATTTTCAGGGTGAATGAGGAAGGCGATTGTACTGCACCATTCTCATTGAAATAATGTAACATTGAATGGGCGATTATTCCACACCACTCAAGTAGCAGGAAAAATTTAAATATGCATAGCAGTGTGGTCGATTATACCGCACCACCTAAAAATTGCAATGAAATTAAACTGCAGGCAAATTAAATATGCAGGGTAGGGCGGGCAATTTTATCGTTCCACCTAAAATTTGCAGTAAAATTAAATCTGTAATTCAAGATAGGAGATGATACTGCACCATCTTGGATCGCGGTAAGATGAAATTTGCAGTTCAAAATGGGCGATTGTACCGCACCATCTTCATTGCAGTAAAAAATAAATATGGTTAGTAATCAATATCTATACCAAACAAGAAATCAAAGATGTATGTAACCGCTAGTTGGAGAACTAGAAGCAGACATGGAGCAAACAGTTCGTCGCGAGGGTATACCGCACAGTTGAGGTAGAGGAAGAAGATGAACAGTAAAAACCTTAAAGGAAACATTTTTCTTTCGGCGAAGTGAAATGATTTTCATTCGGCAAAGAGGAATGAGAAATAGTTATATTTAGAGACTCGTACTGATAACGTGTTATAAATATGTAAAAGTTAGAGGGATAACATTTTAGATAGGTGCGAAGCAGATGTAAAATATCACACTAAAACTATAGCTCAAGTGAATGACAAATAAAAGATGGAGGAAGAGATTTCTTTCGTTCTGTATGTTCTCTCTGTATATACATCGATGGCAGTAGGAGTGCTCTATTTATAGAGCGAATCCATACGACAAATTCTTAAAGTTCGAAATTTACAACATTTTGTTTCCAAAGTCTTCATCATATTTGTGTAGGTATTGACAAAGAACTTATGTGGGCATTCATCAGATAGCCGATGGTTTCATCAGCTAATGTTTTCAACTGCCAATATTGACTGCCAATGGTTTCAACAGTATTTGTTTTCTTGCTCAATTTTTATTTATTTATTTTTTGTTCAAAGGCAACATTCATTCTTACTAACACATATACAAAACGAATGCCCAATCACAAAGGAAGTACAAAGAAAAATATGGACCTCCAAAACATTACAAGGAAAAATTCCAATCCATCACAGGATTGGAGCCCAAAGCTCTACACACCCTCCCACAGATCTTTGACAAAACACAACGCATGTGGGTCAAGAGGTGATGGATCCAATGGAAGAAGGGGAAAGGATGTAGGATGGAGGAAACAAAGGGATAAGAAAGCCATAATGGAAACGAAGAAAATGAATTGTTTGAAGACATGTAATTGAACAAATAGTGCGGAGAATAGGAGAAGGAAAGTTGGAATTGAGGGCTTTCCGATCTATGACGAAGGAGTTGAGGTTTGGGGTGGGAGAAAATTTGGTAGGCTGATAAACACACAAAGAAAGGAAATCAAAAGGAAACCGGGGTTGCCACCAACCCTTGCTTTTAGCAAGGGCTGGCAGCTGACTGATTTTTCTAATCTGTAAACTCACATAGGCAGTGAGAATAGCTCTCAATAGAAGAGAAGTTTGAATATGTTTTCTTGCTCAATTTAGGTCCAACAAGAAGCTCAAGTCTTAAAACTGCATTTATCCTTAAATCGGAGCAGGTCTTACTTTAGGAGTGCGACTTGTGTCAAACCAAAATTGAGTTGCATTGTGGAATGATTGGCTTTAAATTCTAGAAATGGGCTCTGCATTTGTCACATTAATAATTCATTTGTGTCCATGATAAGATGCAATGGTCACTTATAATGTTAACATTTTAATACTTTAGGCAGTAATGTATAAAAATTGAAAGATTGTATTTACTTCATAGGTATATTTTGTACTAAGGATAGTAAAGGTTAACTGCAACTGTTTAATTAATTGGTGATTTGTCTTGTTTTATTTATTTATTTGTCTCTTTTATATCCTTCAATGTAGACTAATTTTTTTATTTTTAGCATGATTTGCTTTCTAGTTGTTCATTTTAAAGTTCCATTTGAGATTACTTCTAGAAAATTAAGTGCGCTTCATGACAATTAAATGCATTGCTAACAATATAATCAAACTCACTTACAACAGGTAAACCAAAAGCGTCTACAGTTTCTCCTCGAAGGAAAAAGAAAAAGTGCTTACATTTGGTCACATTTCACTTATAGTACCATTTATCCAGCACATTGACATTTTCCCCCTTTATTTATTCACTTGAAACCTCAATCGATTATTCAACGCTTGCAGAAAAGCGAAAAACCAGTGATCAACTAACGTAGTAGAGCGGATCAGGCAACTTGAAGGTCCGGTTGCCGGCACTTGCCCCCAATATATCGCTCCATTGATCACCCATGTTCCCAATTATTCTGAATCCACTCTTCTCAAGCTTCGCCCTCTCTGCTGATTTAAACTCGTACGATGTCTTCCCAGAATAAGCTGATCCCCTGCAACCAAAAATGTTACTTAAATTTAGACAGCAATAAAAACAATACAATAAAATGTAGTTTTACTATGAACCATTTGTCAATAGATATGTAGAGTTATGACGGAGGAATGAGAATATGAGATAGAGAATCCTCGAATTCCTCGAAACTGCAATAAAGCAACAAAAATGTATGTTTGCTAGGAACCATTTGGAGGACCACAAATACATTTAGGTTGATTTTTTCCATGAAAAGTTAAAAAATAGGCAAGATATAAGTTAAAGTAGGTCAAGATGTATACACGCGGAAATAGAAAAAATTAGGGTTGAACCACTATCCGTCAAGTGTTAAGTTAACTCGTTGGTAGATCCTTACTTTAAGACAAGCTTCTCCCAAGTGCGATATCCGACATTTCTGAGATTGGTGATTGTGACACTTCTCTGATCTTCTTCTCTACCTGTTATGAACACGACCTTGACTCCAAGTTTCAACAATTTCTTGTACAGCTGAAGACTCTCGGGCAAAGCTGGGGCTCTGCCTTCCAACACCCATTCATTGAATGCAGTGATATTGAATGCCTTCGTCCTGAAAATATTAATTCCCAAAAATTCTATTTAAACTCTGAGTGCTAATTATACCCTACCAAACAACAACAAACTTCTTCATTAATTAATTCATCACGTGATGTTCCAATAATCTACATTATCTAAAAAGATTGTATTTCTAAGATCTCTCAATTATTGTTTTGCTTTTTAGCAAAATTTTTCATTTGGATTAGGCCTGGCAATTCCTGACACGACCCGATAATCCGACACGATACGACACGAAATTAACAGGTGTTTTGGTCGACACGATAACGAATCGGGTCATTATCGGGTAACCCGATAAGCACCTGTTAAGATAACGGGTTGATTCGGGTATACACGTGGGTAACACAATACACGATAAGCATAATATTAATTTTATAATTTTATAACCCTAAAAAATACTATAATAATTATATATATTAATTTAACAATTTTATACCCCTAAAAACTATAATAATTATATAATATAATTATATATATATTTAATTAAATTTAAAAAATTGATGACCTTTGGATTGGCTGAGATCAATCCAAAGTTCCAATACAATTTCATGATGATCAATATAAATCGAGGATTTTGTAAATTGAGGTTTAAACTTTTGAGAAAGACCTCACAACCTTGAAAAGAAAAACATTTTCATTTTGCATATCCTTGCACATTTAATATTTGTAATAGATTAGTAGTGTATGTATTATTTTTTTATTAGGCACTTATTTTCGAGTGTAGATGTAGTACTTAAACGACAAATGTGTTTTAATGTTTTGAAGTAATATTTATGTGGCAATGTGTGGTATGTGCAAATTTAAGAAAAAATAATATTTTTCTTAACGGGTCATAACGGGTCGGGTCACTTTACCTGTTGGGTAAAGTGACCCGACCTGTTAAGGACCTGTGAAGATAACAGGTGTGACACGACACGACCCGTTAACATAACAGGTGTTACATGAAAACGACACGAACACAACAGATACGACCCGTTTGCCAGGCCTAATTTGGATGATCAACATCTTTGATTTACTGCTACTTTATTTTTATATTATGCGTTGGGTCATGTGCATCCTCATGCTTTATATTTAATAAAATCTTTGAAATATATTTGTTAGTTGGGAGAGATTTTTCAGCGGGACCGGTACACGAAGTGGTACATCACGTGTTACTGTACAAATGGTGAGATATGTGTGTTAAAAAAATTAATAACTTAAAAAATAAAAAATTTCACACTTATATAAAAATACATGATATACCACTCGTATTTTTGTCACAAATTCACAATAAAAAAGTTCTCGTTAGTTAGACTAGCTAGAGCTTAGGTACCACATTATTGGTCGCATTATTAACATATAAGTGAGTTCATACAATATATTTTAGTAGAGTTATACTGTTAATGAGTTAAATAGTTAATTGTTATGAGAAATGAGAGAATCAGTGGTAGTCGAATCCGCATTAAGATAGATAAGTATGATTGTTTTTTGCCGAGTTTCATACACTATTATTCTTTTATTAATCAAACGATTTGCGTTATATAAACTTCATTATTCGTTTATCTATCAAACAAGCATTATGCAATCCTGGGGTCCCTCCCCCTTATAGAAAAAAAATAAAGCAAAACCCGGCCGTGAAGGGTCCTTATTATTGTTTATTTCAACATTAATAAAATAGTGAATAATATCATGAAGGCGATAAATATAATATATCATTGGTTACTACAAGTTTTTGTTGAAATTTTTTATTATAATTTAATATTTGACAATTTGAATGTATTATATAAACGTTAAAGAAATTGCTTGCGTGAAGAAAATTAATATCACGATTTTGGTAATATTTACTCAATTAGCAACTTACCCGAATCCTTGACGAGCAAAATACGGTAGATTAGAGAGCGTGGTTTCATCTATATCAAAGACCCAAACGTTCTTGCCATCCTTTTTAAGATTGAGGCTCTTGGCATAGAGCCAAGCCACATCAGTGATCAATTTTGAGTCCTTCCTGTACTGGTGCCCAAGCATGTAGTGCCCAACGTAGCTTCCACATTGTGCCGGAACAGTCTTCCAGTTGATAATGTTCCCAACTTCCACCGCCAAACGCCAACTCAGACAAGACAGGCCGGGAACGCTGCTGCCACCCGCCCCGGATTTCGGCCTGAGGAGATGGATTTGGTGGTTTATAAGTGGCTCATAAGCTTGAGTTGTTGAGAAAAATATGACAAGAAAGAAGAGTAATACTCCTGGCAATCTTTCCATGGTATGTGAGGACTTTGGTGAGTGGAGACTTCGTTGCATTAGATTGATAAGTTTCCTTCTTTAAATAGGGTTTAATCAAGACATTGACCTTTGGTTTTAGGGATAATTACGTCGGTGCCCCTTAGTTATGCTGGTGTACAATAAGTGAAAATTGGAGGAATATTAGTGCTTGAACTTTTCCACTTCATTGTTGTCATCTAAAAGGAGTATTGCTTCAGATTGTGACAAGTTTATAATTCAATACTCATAAATTTCTAGTTTTGGGATCAAACTCCAATTCCAATAAAATTCAGGAATCACGATGGTTAAGATGCACAAGATCCTGAGTTGTTTTTTTGAAATTAATTATAAGGATAAGTTTTTTTTTTTAATTTTTTTTTAATGATGTAAAAATATATTTCCACTAAAAGATTGAAGAATAAATTAGTATTAAACTCGCTATTTATGAAATTAAAAAATAGGTGTCACAAATCAATGTGGTCCTTCTGTTAGAATTTTGTTAAAATTTTCATTAAGTGCTAATGTGGCACATAAATGAGTCACATATGTCCTATTTTCTCACAAATAGTCCTTGAAATTAACCCGCAACATCAAAGTGGTCCTTGAAATTAACCTGTGACATCAAAGTGGTCCCTGGATTTGAAAATCGATTAATGTAGTCCCTCAAATAAGTGTCTCAAATCAATGTAGTCATTCTGGTACAATTCTATCAAAATTTTTGTTATGTGCTGATGTGACACATAATTGGATCACACAAGCCTAATTAAATTTGAAAAAAATTACAAATAAGTTTAATAATTTAATTGTTAATAAAAAAGGGAAAATTAGAATCCCCATCACTTTTATAATCCTCTTTAGATTAAACATTGGTTATAATACAAAATTTGATTAGGACACTTAAACAATAGTCATGTCAACATTTTTATATTTATTTAGATTACAAATCATTATTGTGTTTTTTTAATTTAATATATTAATTATTAAATTCCATATATATCCTTTTATGTAGATATATTTCTGTACGTGCCTATTCTTTAGGAAGCCGGTTCTCCCACGTTTTTTTAATTCAATCCCATCTATGAAAGTCTCTTACTCAGGTTTTTTTTTTGTTTTTTTTTTCGTTTTTTTTTTTTTCAAAATCAAAGCCTCCGAACAGAGAACCACATTTCTTAGTTGGCCTACTACATATATCGATACTAGCCCAATGGCGTCGTCCATTTCTAGCTTTTAGTCTAATTTCTTTGTATAATCTCGTTTTGATAGGAGCTAATGACCAGTGAGTATAACTTTGCCCCTATTACCAAACACCTTGAATGATCTAATTTAATATTATATCATGAACCAAACGATTATTATGAGTCAGTGTAACATTAAGTAACGTACCAAACTCCTAGTACATTACAAACACAATGTATAACGTTTTTTCAGACAAATACGTTTCAAAAAAAAAAAATTACGTACCAAATGCCTGGAATGATCTAATTTAATATTATATCATGAACCAAACGATCATTATGAGTCAGTGTAACATTAAGTAACGTACCAAACTCCTGTTACATTACAAACACACTGTATAATGTTTTTCCAGACAAATAAGTTTCAAAAATTACTGAAACTTTACGTACCAAATGCCTAGAATGATCTAATTTAATATTATATCATGAATCAAACGATCATTATGAGTCAGTGTAACATTAAGTAACGTACCAAACTCTTGGTAAATTACAAACACACATTGTATAACGTTTTTCCAAACAAATAAGTTTCAAAAATAAAAAAACTTTACGTACCAAACGCCTTAAATGATCTAATTTAACATTCTATCATGAACCAAACGATCAATATGAGTATGTGTAACATTAAGTAATGTACCAAACTCTTGGTACATTACAAACACACACTGATAACGTTTTTCCAAACAAATACGTTTAAAAAATAAAAACTTTACGTACCAAACGATCAATATGAGTCAACATAACATTAAATGACATACCAAACTCTTGGTACATTACAAAGTTGCAGTCCAATAATGTACCAAATTCAAAATGTTAACTGGTACATTACAAAGTCGCAGTCCAATATGAGTCAGCATAACATTAATAATGTACTAATCATAGCCTTGCTCAGGACCCTCAACTTCTTATACTAGCTACGTACGTTGCGGTGTAACTCCTAACAAGTTGGATGGATATGAGATCCAACCGAAGCTCCATATGGGATTCTTAATTCAATTAATACTAAAACCATAATTAATAATTTGGCTAATACACAACATGCATCGACCCTAACGTGTGAATCATGTTTTTTAACTCGATAACAGCTTCAGCTATACCTAGATTAATTAAGTTTTCATCTTTTATTTTTTCGTTTAATCAAATCCTTCGACTTCGAAAGACAATCAAAATCAATGCACCCAACTGATAATTGAATAAAAATCAGTAACTGGAACCTGAATACCAACGTCAACCTCGGTACGAAAAGAAGGCTTTTGAAATTTATGGTACGTTCATAGGAAGGAAGTGTCGTTGGAAAATAAAATTCACTAGAAAAATAACATTATTAATATCCTTAAATTCAAATCCTTCTGATATTCAACAAGTATTCTACTCGGATTAAAACTCTGAGACATAGTTAGCAAGAATCTAGGAAACTTGCGTGCATTTTGGGGTGAAGAAACTAGATACGGCAAAGAGATATGTTAAAGGCTATGGCAAAATATGTAATTTAGGTACGTTACAATGGGTTAATTAAAATACACATGGCACCAAAATTGTAGGAGAATGTTTAATCAAATTGTTAAATTGAATAGATGTTTAATCTAAAAAGCCTAAAAGTGAGGGGTCTATATCAAAACGCCCCAATAAAAAATTATAAACCCAAAAGCCCATTCGTACAATCACCTCTAATCACAGTCTACATTATTCTACTCCTTCGCTGTCTATTCTCTAAAATAAAATCTCAACACATCCAACTTTAAACACTTTGACACCCTTCGCCGAATTGAACCTGGATCGAGATCAACTTTGGTGAAGACTTGGCTGATTGGCAACAACTTCTGGGACATGACTGTTAGCATTTAGGGGATCATCATCCTCACAACTTTAATCTTGGAGAGCTTGTTCGGCGCTTCCATGTGGTATGGTGACTCAAAAAACGACAATGTCATTGAGATAATGAGGTTATAACCAAGGTGCGTCTATTGTTGGTTGAAAACTTTTTCAAACCCCATCTTAGACCTTGGTTAAGCCTTGTGCCTTTGAGAATTTATGGAAGGGATCTCTCTTAGGAGTAGGTCCTATTACAAAAAAAAAATTCTATTGTGCAAAATAGTATTCAGACAACTTTTTTTAATTAATTATTATACTCACATCAGCACATAACAAAAAATTTACAGAATTGTGGCGGAAGCATCATATTGATTTGCAACACCTACTTTCAAGGACTACATTCATCAATTTCAATTTTATGGACCATCTTGATGGTGTGAGTCAATTTCAAGGACCATCTTGATAGTGTGAGTCAATTTCAATGACCATTTGTGATAACACCTGTAAATCTTATAGGACCCATTTATGGGCCACATCAGCACTTAACAGATTTTTTAACATAATTATGACAAAAACACCACATTGATTTGCAACACCTATTTTCAAGGACTATATTGATTGATTTTCAATGTCAAAAATCATCTTGATGATGATGGTCAATTACAAGGACCATTTGTGATAAAAACGCATCTATGAAATATGAATACTACATCAAGGGGTAGATATTAATATAATATTCATGATGATATGGCACTTTGGATGGAGCATAATAGGTTGGTCTGGGAGGGGAAATTTACTGAGCCTTTAGAGGTACTGCAGCGGGTGTTATGTTGGCTTCAAGAGTTCCAGGAGGTTAATTGCAGCCCTAGCCATGTTAAGGAGCCGCAACCACATAGGTGGATGACACCTAGTGAAGGGTGGTTTAAATTAAATGTACATGGCGCGGCAAAGTTAGAGGTCAAGGATGGTGGCGCGGGAGGAGTACTTCGTGGTGATGGAGGCTTGTTTCGAGCAACGGGTGTGTTGAGGTTCCAAGGTATCTGCTCCGTGAAATAGGTGGAGCTATTAGCAATAAAAGCTAGTTTGCAGCTTGCTATTCACACTGGATGTAGTTTGGTCCAATTTGAAACTGTCTCGATGAAAGCAGTCGAAGCTTGCAAAGGAGGAACTATAGATTACTCAAGTCTTGGTTTTATTGCTTTTGATATTAGGGAGTTGATGACTAAGTTTGTTAAGTGCTCAATAGCATATATTCCTCGTCATGGTAATTGTGTGGCAGACCACCTTGCCAATTGACAAAATTTTGTTATAATAACCATAATGTTGTGAATAATATGTGGATGGCCCACATGAATAATTTGTTACTATTTATTAGGCCTGGCAATTCCTGACACAATCCGATAACCCGACACGACACGACACGAAATTAACAGGTGTTCGGGTCGACACGATAACGAAACAGATCGTTATCGAGTAACCCGATAAGCACCTGTTAAGATAACGAGTTGGTTCGGGTATACACGTGGGTAACACGATACACGATAAACAAAATATTAATTTTATAATTTTATAACCCTAAAAAATACTATAATAATTATATATATTAATTTAACAATTTTATACCCCTAAAAACTATAATAGTTATATATATATATATTAAATTAACTATAATAATTATAATAATTATATATACTATAATAATTATACCCCCAAAATATTAACTATAATAGTTATATTTATATATATATATATATATATATTAAATTTTAAATTAAATTTTATACCCCTAAAAACTATAATAATTATACATACAAAATAAATAGATTTAAATCTACTTAATAAATAAATAAATAAATATATATACACACACACCCCATTGAACTTCATGGGATACGAATTAAACGAAACTAATTTCAACGATCAAACCGTCAAACTTGTTTGTATATGCTTCAAGATCGCATCAGCAAAAAATTACAAAAAACAAACATTCACATATCAAGTA